AAGTATACAATGACGAAGTCGTCAATGAAAGGGCGGAATACCTCATTCATCAATCGCATGAAGGTAGCTAGAGCATTACATAACCCGAATGACATGACTAACCACTCGAATAGTCCTTGCTTTGTTTTGAATGCAGTCTTCCAAGTATCTTCTTCATGGATGCGGACTTGGTGATAGGCAGATTTGAGATCAAACTTAGTGAAGTAATGTGCACCATGTAGTTGATCTAGCATGTCATCAATCCACGGCAATGGGTACCGATTCTTAATGGTTATTTTGTTGAGTGCCCTATAATCTACACACATACGCCAGTCTCCGTCTTTCTTAGGCACAAGTAACACTGGCGAACCACATGGTGAGCAGCTGGGTTTGATGACTCCTTGTTCAAGAAGTCCTTGAATTTGCTTCTTGATCTCGTCAGATTCCGTCACAGAAGTACGACACAAACCCAAGTTTGGTAGAGGTGAATCTCCTACCAACTGGATCTCATGCTCCACAGCTCTCCGTGGTGGCAAACCCTGCACATCATGAAATAAGTCCTTGAACTTCTCCTGTAATTTCCCTATGTCTGAGCATTGTGCAGGAGATAAAGACAATGTAGACAATGTCACAGCTCTAGAACTCTGATCTTGCGGTCGAATCATCAACAAAACGAATCGCCCACATGAATTGACTAACCTCTTGGCTTGGTTAGCTGTCAGCAAATTATCTGTAAGCAAATTATTTGTAGCTTGAGGCTTGCAAGCGTTGATGTGGAACTCCTTCCCATCTTTCACAAGTCGATACTTGCGAAGCCTTCGATAATGGATGGCATCTCGGTCCCATAAATATGGACTACCTAATATGACTTGGCAAACATCCAAAGGAACCACCTCACATGTCACCTCATCGATATATCGATTGGTGATAGCAAATTTGAAGGTACATTGCTTCGTGATCTGTAAGTCAACATCCTTCTGAATCCATCCTAACGGGTACGGCTTAGGATGTGGTGTGGTGTTTAAACCCACTATTCTTACTAAAGCCTCTGAAATCAGGTTTTTCTGACTTCCAGGGTCAATAATAGCTTGTACAACACTTTGCTTCACCTGGATATTCACATGAAACAGCTCTTCACGGTTGTACGTGTCTTCAGTATCTGCTGGTCTTGTCATAAGGGTAAGTGTAACATCAGGTTGCTTCAACTCTGGAAGCTCTTCTGCCCGTTGTGCAGTTAAGGTGGCTTTTCTGTCATTTCTCCCATGGTTGTTTTTCTCGCGCTTTGGCCGTAACTCTGGATGGAGTATCCAGCACTTGTCTTTGGCATGTCTGCTGGTTTGACAGTGATCACAGTAGACATTCTGTGTCTGACCTTCCTTGCTCTGCTTCCCCTTTTTCTGCCAGTCAGTTTTGTTGACAGGTTTTGATCTGTCATCCTTCTTGTCAGTTCTTTTATTTTTTGCCTCAATGGCTATGGCCTTCACAGTAGCATCTTCAATAGTATCTACGGTGAACAATTTTAGTTCTTTCCGTATGTAGTCGGCAAGACCTCCGGTATACTTCATGAAAACGTCGTAGTCGTCAATGTCAATGTCCAGAACCATAGCTTGGTTGTGGAACTCTGTTGTATACTCTTGTACAGGCTGCCCAAATCTTTGTCTGAAGTGTTGCCACTTATACCATCTTTCATCTTCATAGCCAACTGGATAAAATTGTTTTCTCAAAAGCTTCTTGAAGTTCTTCCAAGTCAATTCTGAGACATCATACCGTCTCTGATAGGACTTCCACCATGTAAGGGCATGGCTTGAAAGTTTCAAACTCGCATATTTTATTTTTTGCACATTAGAATACTTATAAACTGTGAAATAAGTTTCTAATGTGTCTATCCAGTTATCTAGCTTTTCAGGATCAATATCTCCTTTATAAATAGGGATGTCAACCTTAAAATCAATCTTTAAGGTATCAATAGAATTTTTATTGTCACCTGATTCAGCTTCCTTTTTCGTTGGATCAGCTTGTATGTCGTCTTCATCTTCGCTATCCTCAACAACCTTTTTCTTGAGCTTTTGATCAAGCTCAGATGAAGTTGATGGACGTGAAGATTTTCCAGTCTTCAAACTCTCCACGAGTTTAAGGATTGATGCAGACAAGTTTTCAACTTGTTGCTCAAGTTTATTGATCCAAAACTTCTAGTCGATAGAACTATGAATTCCTAGTTTATAGGAATAAGGGAACGAGAGGAATTTTAAGACGATTTAGAGAAACAAAAGGAAGAAGCTAAGGAACTGCTTTGAGTTCTGCCTGTCTTAATTCATTCAACTACAATGGTTTATATACAAGCCTGAATGCCTAGAATAGAAAACTAAAAATAATAAATGAATTTAAACCACAAATGTTAAATGGTTTAAATTCTTTAGGTAATTCAAACCATTAATTTTTAAATGGTTTAGAACCATTTCTTCTTAAACCATTCGAGTCGAATGGTTGATAAATTATTTAATTTAAATAATATTTATTATTTAATTATCTTGAAAAGATCCACCTGGATCACTCCGATCCGAAAATGTCCTCTAATCCAACGGCTGCCCATTTTTTGGCTAAAAAAATATCAAAAATATCTGGAAATTTTTTCCATAAATACCTACCAATATTATTCACTTTTCACACTAAATCTTCATACAAATTCATCTCCTTCTAATATTTTTCACTTTCCACACCAAATTTTCTACTACAAAATTCCGTTTGTGTAAAAATACAATGGCCTCTTCCATCAAACCGGATGGTCGTTGACAAATGTTCGAAGCGGTCAAAATCTTGGCGACAATGTAAATAAATAAAAATCATTTTATTCAATTTAATGTCATTTAAAAAAATATATTTTCTTATATTTCCAATTTCATTTTTTAAATACATTATTCAAGGCAAAACAAAAAAGAGGAAAACCATTACACATGGCTCCTTAAGTGAACAATGTCAGCAGTAGGTTCCAGTGGTGCGTTTTTTGTTGGAAATAATGGCACTATTACTTCATCTGAAAGAAAATACTCTCCAACGTCGTGATCCGGTGGAACCGCCTCCGCCAATGATTGAGTCTTCTTTGTACTCGATTGTGTCGAACTATGAGGACCGGGAGTATTTCAATTGTATGATGAGTGAATAGGTATTTCAATTGTATGATGAGTGAGATGTGAATTTTATAATAAATATGGACACGTGGCAATTAAAAATCTTATTTGAAAATTTTATCTAAAATTTGAGATGTGAATGTTATAATAAATATGGCTATGTGGCAACCGAAAATCTTATCATAAACCCTTACTCTTGCCTTGCCCTTGCCGATAGGGTGGAAGTGCTCAATGATGTTTCAATTAATCACATGATTTTATTTTGTATAAAGGATACCTTTCAATCAATCACATGGTTTTGTTTTGTTTTTAGGATACGTTCCAATCAATCACATGGTTTTGTTTTGTATTAAGGATACGTTCCAATCAATGTTTTGTATGAAGGATACGTTTCAATCAATCACATGGTTTTGCTTTGTATTAAGGATACGTTCCAATCAATCACATGGTTTTGCTTTGTATGAAGGATACGTTCATAAACCCTTACTCTTGCCTTGCCCTTGCCGATAGGGTGGAAGTGCTCAATGATGTTTCAATTAATCACATGATTTTATTTTGTATAAAGGATACCTTTCAATCAATCACATGGTTTTGTTTTGTTTTTAGGATACGTTCCAATCAATCACATGGTTTTGCTTTGTATTAAGGATACGTTCCAATCAATGTTTTGTATGGAGGATATGTTTCAATCAATCACATGGTTTTTCCCCAAAAAAAAAAAATCACATGGTTCTGTTTTGTATTAAGGATACGTTCCAATCAATCAATCACATTGGTTAATTCAAAGACTCATCTGATGCCATCAGATCAGTGATGATGCTCTAGGAAATCCAACTTAATCTTATTGAAAACCAAAACAAATAAAATTTAATATCAATTTGAAATGAATTTAAAAGCTTCACACAAGAAATTGAAATATATGAATTTATATGAATTTAAAAGCTTCGTTTGAGAGTCTCAAAGTTATCCATTCTGCAGTAGTAGAAAATACTAGGCTGAACTTTGTTTTATTTGAAGACGTGAAGCACACTCTAGTTTGTTTTATTTGAAAAATATTATTACTTCAATTGTAAGATAAATTTTTATATACTTCAAGTACATCACGTGGTTGATCATGATTTTGGAATAGGTTCCCTCACCCAAAATCAACAGTTTGAGCTACTTCAATATTATGGTCCACCTCTGTCACTTAAAAGGCCCAAAAGTACATTCCAATTATATATTAGCAGGCCAAAATGAACAATATAATTATTATGGGCGCTAATAATATTTTGGTCCCTCACTTAAAAGGCCAAAATTAATTTAACTCAAAAAAATTATAAGTTAACTCTTAATTACTTAAACTACAAACTTCATGCACAAGCCATATAGTTAAGTCCAACCCAAAAATATATACAGTTAAGAGGAAATAATTGAAGAAACTACATAATAATACAAAACAGGTTTATTTAAAATTATTAGTATAAAAAAACAACACATTTGAAATGAATTTAATAGCTTCACACAAGAAATTGAAATACAAATTCATGTCTTCTCCTTTTTTTTCCCCTTTAATTTAGTTGTTTGTAGGATATAAATTAAAAAGAATCGTCCACTGTTCATCACCACTTTCATTTTTAACTTCTATTCATGTAGTTTTCCTAGTTTGCCCTTATGCGCGCGTCTCTCCAACTTCTCTTTAATTACTTCCTCCAGCTGTTATCCAACTTCTCTTCAATTTATTAATGAAGTTGTCATTGAGGATATGCTAATACTTATGTCTTATGGAAATGTCTATCTAGAATGAATCAATGCAAATGCCTATATGTCTAAATTAATTAATAACGTTTCAATCAATCACATAGTTTTATTTTGTATTAAGGAGAAGTCTAGAATGCAATCATAAAAATGGAGCACCCACATTGGGTAAATTCAAAGACTGATAAAAAGATTTCACATATATGATGCTCAAGGAAATCCAACTAATCCAACTAATTGAAAACCAAAACAAAGAAAATTTGGCCAGCAACTTTCAAGGAAATGTGTGTTCATAGGACTTGAGTTGGCATTTTAAAGTTAGCTACGTGCACACAGACTAGTTTTGCAGACCCTCCAATTATATGGTTTTTCAAGAGAGATTTTTTCAGCCGATGTGGTTTTCAGTAATAAGTGCATGTAGTAGAAATTACATAATCAAGTTCACATTACAACAGAGAAGAAAATACTAGGCTTATCTTTGTTTTATTTGAAGACGTGTAGCACGCTTTAGTTTGTTTTATTTCAAGAATATTATTACTCGACCTTTCAAAACTGCCACCTGGCTTGACTTTTTTTGCCGGCTTCAATTTTCTCTGTTTCGCTTTCGCGGGCCAACCCAACTATGGACACGTACAGCAAGAACAAGAAGCGAAAGCTGCATGAATGGTTTGGGTTTGCTTCATTATAAATAGCACAGCAGGTTGGAGCTAGGAAAAGCAATAAGCATCGAGAGAGAAAGAAAGAGATAAGTGAGTTTACATTTGTATACATTAAAAAAAAAAACTCAATCATATTCAAGCGCGAGCGAGAGATCATCAGAAATGGCATTACCACCAGGGCCTTATGCGATTAAATCAGTCAAGCTCGAAAAATACTTGCTCTACACGCCGCCGGATGGTTCTCTCCTATTCTCCGGAGAGAGTGGTACGGACCCAAACACAACGTTCAAAGTGGAGGCGGACAAAGACCATAGCGATCTGGTGAATATAAAATCATCCAACGGCAAATACTGGAGGAGGGTAGACGAAACCAACAACTATATTAATTCCACCGCTGACGTGCCATATAGAAATCAAAGCTCATGGCAATGTACACTCTTCCAGATTACGAAGGACACGGATGGCCACAAATACCGAATCCGCCACGTGCAACTCGGAGGATATGTAGCGCCAAACCCTGAAAACAAGAACCGTGCCTATGTAAGCACAAGTAACGACACAGGAAACCAAGAAGTTTTCTTCGAAGGGAGTTAATCATCCTGTTAAGTTAATTTGATGTTTGTGGGTAGCGTCGCTGGAAACCCTCACGAGATTTTACTCGTCCCATCAGGGTCATCTATGGGTTTAAAAGGCTTGTTGCATACGCTAAATGCAATCGTGTTCCCTGCGAAAGTGGCATTTTCTTAAGTTTCCTTTGTGTTGTGGTTTGGGTTTCAATAATATTGCTTGCAGCTGCTGCTCATGCATTAATTTATGTAACCTATAGCTAAGACTATCTGTGAGAATAAAAGTTGTGCTTCTTTCGTTTTACTACTCCGATCCAGATTGCTTGATGCATTCATGCATTACTTCCATGATCCAAGAATTACTCGGGTCCTTGATTATTACAAGACCAGTGAGAATAATTGACAGTAAAAATTGTCAAGCCAGATAAACAATAATAGTTCAATTCATGCATTCTAAGGTACACACATTAGAAAATCGAAAGGATAATTAATGGTTCTAACAAAATTCTTAACACATATATCAACATCTCAGAGCTTTTGTTCCAACTGCGATAAACATTTATCATTTAATCGATCAACGTATTATCGATAATACACATTGATCAGAGACAATCTTAGGTAGTTTCTTGATGATATTGATTAGAGAACTCTGACAACTGCGAAGCTCTAGCAACTTCAAGCAGTTTGATTAGTTTCTTATTTCCACCAATACGAGCTTCATCAAGTGGAGTGCTTCCCCATCTGCAATCAGGAAGTAGACTAATTAGTAAGGTTAAACATGCATGTTGGAATTATTTATTTTTTAAATAGGCAGTCCTTTGCTTTAGTCTAAACAGAATTATCAGAATACTGTTCATCTTCTCGTCTATTGCCCCTATAACTTCATCGGATCCTATTGGATTTAGTAGCTTAAAGAAATTTAAAGAACATATATCTAACAAGCCAGATGAAGATGAAGATTGTACCTCTCCTTTGATAGAACACTTGCTCCTACTTTTAGAAGGAATTCTGCCATTGGATATAAAGATTGGCTCCGCCACATACAAGCAAAGGCGGAGCTAGAATTGTAAAGTTGGGGGGCCAAAATAAAAAATACAATTATATAACATACCTAAATATTCAATGGTTACATGTCTAGAGCTAAATATTTCTAATTTAGTAATGTCTAATTTGTTTTAGGGGGAATTTTAACTTAAATTATAAGTTGTTTATTACTAGTTCTATAAATTATTTATAATATAATATAGTAGAGATCAAAAATCTGAGGGACCAGGGCCACAGTAGGCCTAGGAGTGGCTCCGCCACATATAAGCCTTCTGAAGCAACTACATGAAGCGGTGATTGTTGATCATAATTTTTTGTAGTTGGGTTAATGCCATTGGCTAAAAGCCTTTTCAGGCGACGCCCCCGCCTTAACAAGCAAAGAAGCTACTTGATCATGCCCATTTTTATTGGCTCTTGTTAGAGAGACTTCCACATTCCTGAGGACGTTATGCTATTCATGGAGATTCAATCCTAGTTAAACCCAATTAAGGAGGAATTTCAGTTATGCTTTTATTGTATACTATTTAAATATTCTGATATATTTAAATAATATAACCGCACGGCTATACATTTAAAATATTCAAAAACATGCGAGTTTTGAAGGGCAAAATTATTATTTTTTGGTCGAGAAAGAGGGTAATTTCATTAAACCGAAAACCTCACCCAAAAACGAGGAGGCCACAGAATTACAACATACAGCAACCTAGTAAGAAAGCTCAAAGAAACAACTAATTTGTAATATCACATGGAGGACAAAATTAAGAAACAGGTATGAGTGTCATTGAGCATTATGATTTTGAGAAAAATAAATATGAATTTGTAATGCTGTTATTCTATAATAAAGTTGTTAAACAGTATAGTGAATGGGAATCGGAGACACCAGTGGGTGCTCTCACAGAGAGAGAGAGAGAGAGAGAGAGAGAGAGAGATTTCACATATATGGTAAATTAATGACATTATTATAATTGATAAATGGCTATGGCCCATAAGTACAGCAGAGAAGAAAATACTAGGCTTAACTTTGTTTTATCTGAAGACGCGAAGCACGCTTTAGTTTGTTTTATTTTTACCTTTCAAAACTGCCACCTGGCCTGACTTTTTTTGCTGGCTTCAATTTTCTCTGTTTAGCTTTCTCAGGCCAATCCATTCATTAAGGGTGAACCACGTATATATCGTCTTCTGTATATTTATCACTTGCCCAAAAATTCATACACAATGCTGAAGGTCCTCACCTTCACCCATCACCACCATTCCATCTTTATCTAAGTTAACCCTCCCAAAAAGAGCATCAACAGAAGATATACATGTAAACATAAAAGAATGAATACAGGAAAACAGAAGGGTGGGTCCTGTGTGCATGCAGCTGCGCAGCCTTGCATGTATGCTACAAAGCCATTAGTTTTATGTGTGTGTGGTATGCGCTATTATATATAACCAAAAGGTAGCAGCCAGCCCAACCAGAAGGGTTTGAGGCTTTGCTGTCTTATTTCCCCTGCAAATGAATGCATGACACCATATTATTATTCATATGAGTACACAAAGATCAATGCTTGAGAAACTGATACAATTTAAGGACAATTTGGATAGAGTGACTTTATTATGTTTGAGAACACGTAACACAGTACTGCAAAGCAGAATAACGGTATAAGACATAATGGGACTAAACAAGTAAATTGTAACTCATACCAGCTCACCGTGGCATACTATGTATAGTTGATCAATTGCTTGCCCCTGCTCTATAAATCACTTATGCTGGAAGGAAAAGCTCCTCATGAATTAATTCTGGTTGCCTGATAAACCAGAAACATAGGTTAGATTATGACGCAGCACAAGTAAATAGATTTTCAAGCGAAAATCCTAAAGAATAATAATCTGGAATCCACTAGGAAATTAGAGAGAAATGCTCTTTGTATTATTTGATAAAACTTGAGATCAATTCAAGCACGACGGTTGACTAAATACAACGTTCTCACCCATTGGACTGCTATGAGGAGTTATTGAAAACTTAACAAAAAAAGAAACGGAAAGTCTTGTAAATTGAATACAATTTTTAAATGCACCTTTGGAAGGACAAACGACCTCAGAAGCCAAAATCCACGATATATCACAGTAAAGCAGTGAGTTGGACTCGTGGCGTCGTTCCCTTTTCGAGAAGATATTATGCGACCTGATCGAAACTCGAACGTCAAATCTGTAAATTCCCGTTGCGTCCTTTTTCCCTTTTCGCTCCAATTCTTTTTCAATCCATTCAGCCATTTGTTCTACATCAAATTCCTCTACTATATATAAAAGAAGCAAAGTCCAGAATTGTTAATATTTATGTTATGAATAATCAAAGGTGATGAAATTATCCAATGATGTCATCATTTTGTTAAGGGCTTCTTAGATCTAGCTCTAAAACGATTAGCCGCTATTAGATTTAGTCCATGAGTTTTTTGTTTTAGATGTAGGTCATTTGACATTTATCACTTTTTTTGTTGTGTCGATTTTACCCTTTGAGGTAAATAAGGAAAACACATTGAAAATATAAAATTAATGCATTATTGTTATAAAACTAAGGGGAATTGTAGACAACAATAAGAGGAAGAGAAATACAGAGAATTTATTCTATGACCTTGTATCAACATATCATATTCATCTTTGATAAGTGCCTATTTATAGGCTTACAATAGAGGTATTTAACCCACAATTTATAGCTACTAATTACAATAATAAGGGCATAGGTTACAAAGAAATAAGGGGTGGAGGTAATGGATGTTATGGTGGTCATCCACATTCCATGGATTTATAACACTCCCCCTTGGATGTCCACCATACAATGAACATAGTTGCCTCATTAAAAACCTTGCTTGGAAAACCCAGTACGACAAAACCGAAGCGAAGGGAAAAAGAGTGAAACTTTCTTCTAGATCATTGATATGATGTTGGATGCGCTTATGTTGCCTCGTTAAAACCTTACTAGGAAAAACCCAGTGGGACAAAAACCTAGTCGAAGGAAAAAAGAGTACAACGCGCATATGTCTTGTACGTAGTAGAATTGGAATGCTCCCCCTGATTGATATCTCCCCCTGATTAATATCTTCTCTTGATTTTCATTAACTTCTGGAGTTTAGGATTTAGAAAAAGTTTTGGTAAAAAGGTTCGCCAAATTATCTTGTGAACGAATTTGTTTAACTCCAATCTCTTGGCTTTTTTCTGAAGTTATGTCACCCTTGATGAACCCTTCTCTGATTTGAGCAATACAAGCAACATTGTCTTCATACATAATCGTCTATTACAACAAGGGGTCACTTCATCTTATATATCTCAATATTTCATGAGCTTTGAGGATTTCCAGGTACCATATAATCTTAATAAATATGCATTTAACACATACTATAAGTTTCGCGTTAAAATAACAACTGCACTTATAGAAATGTGGATGCATCTACGATGAGATGGGAGACTAAAACCATGTCTCTACCAGGAAACCTTATGTCATTTTAGTGATCTTATTTCACTTCACAAACACCAATTCGTAACCTTCATACTTAACATTTGTAATTCGGTGTTTGAGCTATAGGTTCAATATTCCACACTTCATATTTAGTGATAAATGGAATTGCCTATTTTTATTTTGGCCAATCACTTAACTTGTCGACATTCATAAGGCGATTTAATATAATCATAGCCCTTGATGATTGTAGTAGCTATTAATACACCAAATGTATCATCAATTCATGATCCCACAATTCTCATGTGCATGCGCATGCATAATTTGTAAGCATCTCATTGCTTTGGGGTACCAATGCCTCTTCAGGGGCTGATGTTGTCACTTATAGGATAAACATCTCTTTTACGATGAATTAATTAGAATATGTGGATCGTAACCTCATATAGAGCGTTATTTTTTATAGGGCTTGAATTTTTCAAATAATCTCCACTTCTAAGGAGTTAAGTCTTTATAACCTATATTTCTGTCATGCTCCAGGCATGCATTATATA